TCCATTTTGATTCTTTTTTTTTAAGATTTTATTCATTTATTCATGAGAGACACAGAAAGAAAGAGGCAGACACATAGGTAGAGGGAGAAGCAGGCTCCCTGCAAGGAGTCCAATGCAGGACTCGCGACCCCACGATCACATCCTGAGCCAAAGGCAGACATTTAACCGCTGAGCCACCCAGGTGTTCCTCTACTTTGATTCTTATTATGACTATATAATTTTTCTATCCAAACTCTTCCTTCCATGTCTTAATATTTACATGTTTCCTAAAAACATCCTAGGTGTTAATACCTCCCTGATTGTATTTATCAGTTATACTCCTTTACTTATTAGCTGTGTGACCTTTGGCAAGTTTCTTAACCTCTCTGAACCTCTATCTTTTCATCAGTAAGATGGAAACAATAACATCTTTTTGGAATTATAGTAAGGATTAGAAATAAAATGTGTAAGCCACAGTGGCTGGCACACAGTACTACAAAATAAATGGCAACTATCATTATTTCTCTTCACAGATATAGACAGATAGTAAGCTTCTAGAGGATAAAAATCAAAGCATCCTTCCTTCTGTCCTCTACTCCAACATCTAGCACAGCACCTAACACTAGTAGTAAACATTTACCAAATGTTTTTTACAAAGGAGCTGTACAATAAAATGTAAATCAAATTCCCTAAAATCAATCCATTAAAGAACTTTTTTTCAATTTTTTTTAAGATTTTATTTATTTATTCATGAGAGACACACACACAGAGAGAGAGAGGCTGAGACACAGGCAGAGGGAGAAGCCGGCTCCATGCAGGGAGCAAACTCAATCCCAGGTCTCCAGGATCAGGCCCTGGGCTGAAGGCGGCGCTAAACCGCTGAGCCACGGGGGCTGCCCAATCCATTAAAGAACTTTTTAATGCTACCACTGTCTTAAGCACTAAGATCCCAGCCTGAGTTGAGCCAAACTGCTCCCTTCTCTGATACCTACCTACACATACATACAGAAGAATCAGTCTCTAATAAAAAATGAAATTTGTTGGGGTGGCTGGGTACCTCAGTCATTTAGGTGCCCAAGTCTTGATTTTGGCCCAGGTCGTGGTCTGGGGTTGTGAGATAGGGCCCTACAGCTCTGTGCTCAGCAGGGAGTCTGCTTATCTCCCTCTCTCCCCCCCTCTCTCTCTGCCCCTCCCCTCATTCATGATGGCTCTCCCTCTCTCCTTTCTCTCTCTCAAATAAATTTTTAAAAAAGAAATGAAATTTGCCAATCCAACGAGAATCCTAAACATTTTAATAGCTTGCCTAAAAGAAGTACTAGATTTTAGACAAGCTTTTCTTGGTGAAATTACTCTGAACTCACCTAATCTTACAACCAGTTAGGAATGCCATGATTTAATTTATGTCAGATTTAAATACAATATGCAAAATAAAAACTGATTTCCAAAGCTAAGAGGGCAGCTAAACCAAATTTAGTGAGAAGAGCCTTCACACTGAGTTTCTGGTAAGTTACTTTCTCATCTACTTCCAAATAAAACCCAAACACAATGGTTCCCTTTCACAGGCCTCCTTATCTACAACACAAACACAACTGATAACACACCCCCCAAACAGCTTGATGGTTCTGTTGACATTGGGCCACATCCATGGGCTCTTCTGTGACTAATGGAATATTTCCACACCTGGTGAGAAAAACATCAGTGGCAAACTTTTAGTGAAAAAGCATGAGCCTGACATTCCCATGTGGAGTAATTTGCATTTCCTGCAGAAGCACTCCAGCTATTAACTATTTCAAGCAATATGGCCCAGGAAGCTAAGAAAGCTAAGTTTAAGACAATATTTTTTATTACAAGGACATTAAAAGTTTGATTATAAAGCTACCAGAACTCAAGAAATATGGTAGCCTCTTAAGGGCAGGGAATTTATCTTGTCTCACTTTGCTTTTCCCCAATTTCAGAGAATACAACAGGAATTCAGGAATGGCTGGTGCCCGAAGAAGAAGGGCTACCAGAGCAGCCTATCTACCTAACTCCCTGCCAACACTGCAGAGGGCCAGTCCCTTTGCTCTTCTTCCCCCATCTGAAAGATAAGAAAGGTGTAATGACATTGATAAAGGACACTCAGTTTAAAAAAAAAATGTTTAGGAATCGAACTACTGGGATGCCTGGGTGGCTCATGGTTGAGCACCTGCCTTTGGCTCAGGGTGTGATCCCAGAGTCTGGGATCTAGTCCCATATAGGGCTCCCCACAGGGAGCCTGCTTCTCCCTCTGCCTATGTCTCTGCCTCTCTCTCTCTCTCTGTCTTTCATGAGTAAATAAATAAAATCTTAAAAAAAAAAAAAAAAGGAATGGAACTACTGAGGATTAGAAGACCCCACACAGTCTTCTTTAAGAGTGTAGAGATAATCAGTAAGGACATTGTTCCTGGAGCCTGAGAGCTTGTGATGAGTCGCATCTCTGCCACTTACTGCAATATGACCATGGACATTGGCAGGCTCTCTGTGCCTCAGTTTCCTCACTTGGAAAATAGAGATGACAAAATTAGTTCATACCTCACAGGGATTTCTCCAGGATTAAATGAGTATATTTCACTCAGAATGATGTCCAGCATATAGTAAGCAGGCCCATCAAATGTTTATTATTTTTAAATATTATTTGGGATGCAATCTCAACATGAGGTTGCATTTTGTCCCAATGGTAACTAAGTGGGCAACAGGCTGCAAGCACTAGGCACACTGCCACACTAACTCCTCTTTAGGAAATTAGGAACCATGAGTTTTGCCTTTTGCTATTGTCTTTTATTGTCCTAAGTAGACAGAAAAAATGGGAAGGTCATGACCTTCATCTCAAATACAGAGGCATTGCTCCTAAGTGTCAAAGAAGCTGACATGAACCAATTAAAAAAAAAAAATGCGTTAAGAATTCTAGGTCAAACATTAGAGAACTAATTCAAGATTACACCAGATCCCAAGGCAACTACATAGAGACAAGACTGTCTTTCTAACAAATGGTGCTAGACCCACTGGATATAGATACCCCCCCCCACACACACACACACAAATGGACCTTGACCGTTCCGTTATGCCATTACGAAAGTTACAAAAGTTAGCTAGGATGGATTATAAACTATATGTGAGAGATAAAACTATTAAAAGCCTTGGAAGAAAAAAAGCAAGAGAAAATCTTTGCAACATTGGGTTGGACCAAGATTTCTCAAGCAATACATCAAAAGCCATCAACTACAAAAGAAAAATTGATTAAATGTACTTCATCAAGATTAAATACTGATGCTTTTTGAAAGACATAGTTAAAAAAACAAAAAGGCTACCAGACTGTAAAACATGTAATTGACTTCACATTATTTAAGGAACTCTTAATTAAAGGAAGACAGATAACCCAATTTAAAAATTGGGCAAAATATTTCAAAAGATATTTCACAGAAGAAGTTATAAGAATGACCAAACATGGCACATGAAATGATGTTCAACATCACTACACATGAAAGAAGAGAAAATTCAAGCCACAATGAGATACCATCACATATCCACTAAAATAGACCGTTAGAAAGACCGACAGTACCAAGTTTAGGCGAGGATAAGGCAAATGGGAACCCACATATACTGCTAGTGGGAAGGTAAAAGGTACAGCCACCTTGAAATGCTGTACAGCAGTATCTTTATAAAGTTACACACACATTTACCACATGACCCAGCAATTCCAGTCCTAGGTATTTACCTAGGAAACGAAAGCACACATCCACATGAACGTAGGACCATTCACAGCCCCATTATTTAAACTAGCCAAAACCAGAAGCAACCAAATCTGTTCATTAATTGGTGAACAGATCAACAGACTGTAATACAGCTTACCACGGAATACTATTTAGCAAGGAAACAAAATAAGCTTTTAAAACAAGCAACGAAACAGCAACTCAAAAAGTAAAAGTGAAACTATAGACAGAAGGCAGATCAGTGCTTGCCCAGAGCCAGAGAGAGGAGGAGGTTTCATATGCAGGGGGTCAAGAAAACTTTTAGGGTGAGGGAAATATCTATGGATTCTGACATTATATACAATTAATCAAAACTCTCAAACTTCACTTAAAACTTGTGAATTTAAAACAAACAGCACCTGGACGGTTTAGTCGGTTAAGAATCGTGAGCTAGAACACCAAACCAGGCTCCACAGTTAGCGTGGAATCAGCTGGAGATTCTCTCTCCCTCTGCCCCCCTCCTCCTTCTTTAAAGCAAATAAATAAATCTTTTTTAAAAACTTTAAAAATTAAAAAAAAAAACAATCAGAGAATCTTGTTTGTGTAAGTTCTACAGACATGTGAAAAGAATATGTGGTTTCTATCTGTAAAGTATAAAAGGTATACATATACACACTTGATTATGATAATACAGATTCCTTCTTGAGTATCTCATCACACTAGGTCTTAAAGAGTTACACTCTTTAAAAAATGCATAGGGAACACCTTCAGCTACCACTTGGAAGGTTAAAACTAGAAAAACTTTACAAAGTAGGAAGTTTCCACACAAACATCTCTTCATTCCTCATAAATATTTAATTTCAAGACTAAAACTAAAACAACGAAATATCATTTAAGGGTCAAGAAAAATTTTTATTATTTTATTTTATTTTTCGAGAGAGAGTGAGACAGCATGCCAGCAGGGTGTGGGGCAGGGGCAGAGGGAAGAGAGAAAGAATCATACACAGGCTCCACACTTAGTGCGGAGCCCAATGTTGTGCTCAATCTCACAACCCTGACATCATGATCTGAGACAAAATTAAGAGTCGGATGATTAACTAAGTCACGCAGGCATCCAGGGGTCAAAAAAAATAGAAATACTCCTCTGCACACATAGATCAAAGATTTATTAAAACCTTTTTATACAGACACATTTTTTTTAAACCCCACTCACAGTTTAATTAATCTATCCCACTTAAAAAGCAAACAGAAACAAAATTAGCTGGGGTCTCTGGGTTTAGGTTCTGGCTGCAGATGACAGCGCCAGGTACTCACCTCAGTGTTTCCATCCTTGAAGCTCTCACTGTAAGTGCTGTCCGGGGTGCTGCGCTGGTCATCTTTGAGGTAGGTGCTATGGCTGGCCATGGAGGGCACGCCATACTGAGTCTGTTCAAAGATAACCACACGTTGTTCCTCACCATCTCCCCGGGGATAGTGCACCGGTGGGGCCATGAAAACAGGTGTGAAATCTTCAGCTTTCACCACTGTGATTCCTGACACGGGGATGATGGCTGGGCTCTCAGAGATGTTTGTGCTATACTGTTCTCGTTTTGAATTCTCCAGGTGGTCTTGATTTAGGGAAAGGTTCACTGGAACAGTCTTTAGGACCTGCACTCGGTTTTCTCCTCCACTCAAATTTCCCTGGGCTTCACTGGTGCCAAGACAGTTTCTGCATGGTGAAACCCACGCCCCCACAAACAACATAACAGAATTAGAAAAATCACCATTTTGCAACTCCTAATAAAATAACTGATACAAGCAATAATCGGTAGATGTTAATGCCATTAGGGGAAAAGTTGATGGTGAATTTTACAATGGAATGCAGAGGATCCTTGCACATCAATAGAAGTAGGGCATGTGTTTCATAGTATCATGCAATCAACCCACCTATAAAGTGCAACTGGGGAGAAAAAAAGGTGACCCTAAATTTAAGCAAGTCTTTATATCTAATTCCCAGCTCTCGGAAATTACAGGACTCTAGAAGAATGACTTAAACAACATCAAAAGGAAACAATCATACAAACACAACATAGTACATCTTACTGACCTGGTTTCTTCAATAAGTTAGAGGCATGAAAAAAAGAAAAGAGAATGGGAAGCTTGTTCTAGATTAAAAGATTTGAAAGTTATAACAAATAGGATGAGTAGATCTTGTTTGGATCTTGATCTGAAAAACCAAAAAGGCATTTATGAGACAATAGGATCTTTGAGGCAATTGAATATGGACTGGGAGTTAGGTGACATTAAGGAAGTATCATTCATTTAGTTAGATGTGATAATGATTTTGGATTATGCTATAAAACATCCATTTTATTTAGAGATACAGATGAGAAGTAGTTAAAGATGAAATGACACGATGTCAGGAACTTATTTTAAAGATTACTGCAATTAATAAAAAAGAAGAAGAAGAAGAAGAAGAAAGAAAAGAGAGAAAGGTAGAAATTAAGCAGATATAACAAAAAGTTACCACTGCTGAATCTGGAGAATTGGATGGGTATGAGACACCTAGATATGTTTGAAAACTTTCAAAGGAAAAAGTAATAAAATAGCTTTTTTAAAAGGGTGAGGGGAAGACAATAATTTAAAGGGGGGCAGTGGGAAGAATATTTTTCACAGTTCTGTGGGTTAACATCCTTGTAGAAAAAAAAAAGGCAATGAGAATTTATCATTAAGATATTTTCACTAAATTGAGAAACAACATGGGCTCATTGATATCCTCTTCAATGAATGACTTTCACGACTTGAGGAACAGTGGTGGTATAACTTGGGCTTATGTAAAACAAGATCTCTCAGATCTCAGACCTCCTGACTGGTACAGAGAGAAAGGAGAGGGTTTGGAAAATTCATTCTCACCAGGCTGGAATAAAATACTTTCCATTTATACTATAGAATTCTGGGAGACAGCAATAGCAAAGAGAAATCCGTCAATGGAAGAGTATTGTTAATAGCACAACGATTTTACTAGCAAAGTCCCTGCAGTCAGTTAAATTTGGGGTCACCTCTCACTTATTTATAGATTATTCTAAATGATACGGAGAAAAAAATACATATTTTGCATGGAGTCCTGTCTCCAATGTCTGTTTTTTTTTTCTTTTAAATTAGTGTGATTTCTGCGGCTAACTGGCATCTCTCATAGAAAAATACTTGAATAAAATTGGTTCTTCCCAGAATTAATCTCTCCTGACTCCTCTGAGTTTACCTGTCAAGCAAGACTATATAGTTTTAGCTTTGATTTCTCAGACAAATCCTCAACGTGAATGAAGATTGAAGAAAACATGGCTTCACATGAACAGAGCCAACAGAAAAACACTGAAACTTCTTGGAGCCTGTCACAAATCTGTAGAAATCATTATAGAAAGTAATCCTTTAAAGTATAAAATCCTCTACAAACATTCTGCTTTAAGTACTAACCTGCTTCCATGGTCATAGCAATAACATGACTCCGTATATAAGACACAGCAAAAATTTAGAAATTATGTTTAACCTGAGTCCAGTTAGCTAGATGATGCCAAATCCAAACCACCCATTTATGTCAGCATTTCCTAAACTCCATTGTTTAGAACACTGCATGGAATGTTAATAGATGTTCCTCAAAGAAAAGACTCTATGACAAAATCAGTATTTTTTTAAAAATTGCCATAACAAAGCTATCCTGTTGTGGGCCACAAACCTAACACAGTAAACACCCCCAGGCATTCCTTCACCTGTTTAATTATAAACCAGAATTTTCCAAACTAATTTTACCTCAGACTCTTTCGTGGAGGATTAACTATTAATATTTGTGGATCATGTCCTATAAGTTGGATGTAAAAGGAGCTGGTCTACATTGATTAGCTACCAAAGCAAGTGTCCAGTTCCACTCCTCTGGACTTTACACAAACACAGACTTACTGCCTTTGACAAAATATTCAAAGTTCACTAACTCCATTTCAGGCCAAATTTATTAGGTCTTTAAATTCATGCAAAACACAAGTCAAAATATTTGGGGCATCCTTATAAACAAATATTAGTGGAAAGCCTGGGTGGCTCAGCGGTTGAGCGCCTGCCTTCAACCCAGGGCACAATCCTGGAGTCCCCTGGATCAAGTCCCACATGGAGATCCCTGGATGGAGCCTGCTTCTCTCTCTGCCTATGTCTGCCTCTCTCTCTGTTTCTCATGAATAAATAAATAAAAATCTTTAAAAAAATAAAAACAAACAATTACTAGTGAACTACAGAATTGTATAAAACTAGTCAAATCGTCATTACATATACGGGAATATTAGATGCAGCATCATCCTACAATGTGTACCCGCCTTGGTAGAACAGTAGTTTTAGAGGCTCAAGAACTTCAGAAAGATGTCCAAAAAATGGATGATTAGAACAAAGAAAGAATTATTTGGATCTACTGAATCACCTGCAATAGAATTTAAAATCGAACAGAATATCGTAATACGAGAAAAATGCAATGCTAAGAATAGTGCATTAAAAATACTTTTTAAAAATTTTGGATCATGCCATCAAGATTTTCAGTTATTTTTCCATGTACCAACTTCTATATACAGACAGTTGTAATGATATCATGCTAGCACATGGCACCTTAATTCATGAAAATACATTGCAGACCAAATGATATCCTTCCAAATTAAATTCAACCAGAAGTCTCAGTCATAATTAGTCTATACAAGGAGGTTTTGTCTACACCTCACTGCCAGTGTTTTTGAAGGTGCTCCACTGAAATCACAAAAATAACCATTAAAATATGAGGGGCTGGGACGCCTGGACAGCTCGGCAGTTGAGTGTCTGCCTTTGGTTCAGGGCGTGATCCCGAGGTCCCACATCAGGCTCCCTGCTGCTTCTCCCTCTGCCTATGGCTCTGCCTCTCTCTGTGTCTCTCATGAAGAGATAAATAAAATCTTAAAAAAAAAAAAATGAGGGGCTGTCACCCTTTAATGTTGTTCTAAAAGATGCTTTTACGAAAAATGATCTCTTTTGTCCTTTATGATACAGACAGAGCACATATCTTCAAACATGTTTTCCCCTGACTCTTCTATGATACTGGTATACGATTTAGCAGACAGGACACGCTTAGCTTAATAAATACTGGCTAAATGGAGGAAAAGCCACAGGACCTGAAGAATGTCAGGCTCTTTCTCCCTGTGGGCTACTAACTAGAGCCCACGGCCCCAAGACACTATGGAGCATCAGAAGATCCCTCTGAAACTGTAAATCAGATGCAGACAGCTTAATCTCTGCTGAGGATGTACCTTGGGGGTGATGCACAGCCCGGAACTGCTGGGTGGTAGTCATATAACAAGATCATCATGTCACAAGCAGTTCCTCTCAAGGTCAGGTAAGATTCCGATGTATGTGCTAGCAGGGGATTTCACTTCTCCTGGTTTCATATTCCCATATAAAAGAACCACCAAGAGGAAAACACTGTGGCTTCTCCCCATTCCTCAGCAGAAGAGGGAGACATTTGATTGGTGGGTCTGGGAGAAGCAGCTGAGTGAGGAGGTTCAATCCCTCCCGTTCCCTCTTTAGGTCTGGATCATCCTGGCTGAAGAGAGAGAACTCCAGTCACCACTGCCATACCATGGTGGCCTGTCCTTTCAGGGAGGCCTGGAGACCTGCCTGAGATTGGGTGAGTAGACATATCTAAATCAGGATGGACACTTTGCAAACTCTGGATTCAAAAATCTCATTCTCCATGGGCTTAATCAGAAATAAAACTGATTTTTTTTCCTTTTTAATTTCAATCTGTCTGCATCTTGTTTCTCAATTGGTTCTTAATTCAGGGTTGCAGGAAAGGTGGGGGTCACATAATGATCTCCTAACATCTTTCTTGACCCTGCACCCTCATGGTGTCTGCTGCTACTCATGGCTCTCTACCAGCTGCCTCCTGGAGGGAGAAACAGTCCAGTCTCCTTCCTCTCCCACTCATCAAAAGCAATCCCTACAAGGCTCACTCCCTCAGGGACTTGATTACAATTATCCAGCCATGGGAATGATCAGAAAAGTTTGCCCTGGCAAACTTGCCAGCGTTTCACCTCTAACCACAGATTTTCAGCCTTCTTGAAAGAAGATAGGATATATCAAGAACCTGCTGATGACCCTTTGAATGTACAACCAAAATATGCAATTTGCTCTCTCTACTAAGAGAGCCAGTTTGGGTCCAGACTAAAAGACAGAAGAGGCTAAACTCCTTGATCCCATCTCCTCTCAAAAGCAAAAATTATAGTTTAATGCTGTTGTTTTCAAAAATACAGAAAAAGAGTTATTTGGGGAGCCAGGCATATTCTTTTACATAACACCATACCTTTTATCCTGTTCTTCTTGGCTGTCACTTGCTTTGCTTACAGACAGCAGCCTCTTGTCTCGGGGAACCTAGAAATATTACCAAGCATCAGTCAGACTTATGTAGATGTAACTGTGAGTTAAGTGTAGAGCTAGAGACCAGCATAAGCAAAGATATTCAAATGGAATGTTCTCCAGGAAAAGGTGGCACATCTGCTATAGGCAGATGAGTAGTCTGAGTGGCAATGACACTCAGACACAAAAGGGGTGATGATAAACAGAAGGCCATGACGATCTTGGTTGTGCTGTGTACCTGCTGACACAGGCAACTCTGCCTGGACGTGACCACCCTCCCCCACCAAGCCTGCCCCACCTTGGGAGTGAATGAGGGGAAAGAAATACCATGAGTGGTGGGGGAAACTGGACCCTGGAACAGATAGAAATCACCTTGGGTTTAGCATCCTCTCAAAGAACAGGAGCGGACCCTCCACTCTGAGGAGGGACCTCAGGTGCTGACACTGAGAGGAGCAAAGGGCATGAGGCTGTCCCGTGCAGAAGGACAGCAGCATGTAGTATACCTGGACCATCCTTGAACCACCACCCCTCCATAGCTTGTAGCCTTGCTTCCATAGTTATTCTTCTAATGCACTTTTGTTATTGTCTTGGCAACCACAACACCAACACATTACCTGGAAGATTAGTGAAAATGTGCTACTACAGAAAAGAGATGCCTCTACCAGCCACATTTCTGACCACCATCCAATCGCCCCACTGCAGTACAGAACATTCTCTTGTCTCTGCCATAGTTTTCAAACACATGAATAAAAGGTTTAGATTTGTTTGTGTGGTTGATTGGATGTTTTGCTTTGTTTTTATTTTGTGGTTTTTTTGCCACATCTCCACATTTTCATGCTAGCCTCACTCCTTTGCACGCAAATGCAGCCTTCATTATTTTGACATAAAAGAGCCTTTATGAAAAGTATCTCTCTTCTGGATTCTTCCAGAATTTTTTATGGTTTCCACTCACCTGGATACATAGGCAAGCCCAGTCAGCTGGATAAGAGAGGCAGCATAGCACAGTAGCTACCAGTCAAGATCCAGACCTGATTATCTAGGTTCGAATCTCAGCTCTATCAGTAACTAAACTCTGCCTCACTTTCCCTATCTGTAAACCATGCTTAATGGCAGTCTTATTTTTACAGCATTTTTACTAAAATTAAATGAGTTAATTTTTTTCAAAGCACTTGGAATATCTGGTACTTTATAAGCATTTGTTAAACAAATATAAAATAAATCAGAGCATCTGGGTGGCTTAGTGGTTGAATGTCTGCCTTTGGCTCAGGTTGTGATCCTGGGGTCCTGGGATCAAGTCCCACATTGGGCTCTCCACAGGGAGCCTGCTTCTCTCTCTGCCTATGTCTTTGCCTCTCTCTGTCTCTCATAAGTAAATAAATAAAATCTTAAAAAAGTAAAATAAATCAATTTTAAGTCTTTTGTTCACATGTCAATGTTAAGGGTTTACAATGTGCCAGGCATTGCTAAGTGCTAGATAGAAATGAGGTGAATGAAACATAGCTTCTACCACCAACTGAAGTTGACAGATAAACATAATGTTCACAGTATCATTATTCACAATAGCCAAAAGCTGGAAAAAACCCAAATGTCTGTTCACAGATAAGGAACAAACAAAATATGGTATATATGTATACAATGGAATATTATTCAGCCTTAAAAATGAACTGTGGATACATGTTCTAACATGAGTCTTGAAAACACTTATGCTAAATCCCATATGTCTCAAATCCATCCACTTCTGGATGTTTGCCTCCTGGTTCAGCCTCCAATACCTCTTGTGTGGGCTACTGTATCAGCCTCCCAACTGGTCTCTTCTCTCCTTCACTTAGTCCCTGCAAATCCACTGTATCCATTAAGAAGATCCAGACTCACTTTAAAAATGCAAGTCTAATCTCATTACACTCAAACTTGAAATTCTTCAATGCTTTCTATTACTCTTGAAAACATGGCTCCAAAAAGTTCCCACCTCAACTTGAGCAGCCTCGATCAGTGCTGTGCATGTAGCCACACTGTATCTCAAACATACAATGCTCCTTCTCTCAGCAGAGCCACCAAAGTCCTCTCAGTCTTTGGATATCCATTCCACCTCCATATCTACCACCATTGCTGGATGGTCACAGCTAGTTAATGAATATTAGATGGGTGGATAGATAGATGGATATACAGATAGAAAGACAGATAAATGGGCTATATAAACAGACAAACAAGCAAACCAACAAACTGGTTTCCAGCACTACATGGTCAACAAAACAGATAGGAACCAATTAGCCAAGGAAGCATGTTTTCATAGAGCTGGAATCAGATAATAATGAACCACCAGCTCTCTCACAGGAAAATGAAGTAAGATAAAGTGAATGAAACCACTTTTAAAATTAACTAACGGAATTTGTTGTTTTCCTGCCATGCCTAAAATTCATCAAAAGTTCACATTTGACTTTAAAGCTGCTATGGATAAGTAGCTTGAACTGGATAAGAGAATTGGGCTTCTATTTGAGCCCCTAAATTTTGAAAATTCTAGCAATTGGTTATTTTTTAATAATCTCATTTAATATACTTTGAATGGATTTCTAAAAAGTTGAACCCATCTTTAAGTGGAGGTTCAAAAAGGCAATTTCTAATGGTGGACAGTGTCATGGACTGAATTGTATCTCTGCAAAGATCATGTGTTGAAGCCCTAACCCCAATGTAACTGTACCTGGAGATAGGGTTGTTGTTGTTGTTGTTGTTGTTGTTGTTGTTGTTGTTTTAAAGATTTTCTTTATTTATTCATGAGAGACACAGAGAGAGAAGCAGAAACATAGGCAGAGGGAGAAGCAGGCTTCCTGCAGGGAGCCCAATGTTGGACTCAACCCCAGGACCCTGGGATCACACCCTGAGCCAAAGGCAAGACACTCAACCACTGAGCCACATAAGCGTCCCAAGATAGGGGCTTTCAGGAGGTAATTAGGATTAAATGAGGTCATAACAGTGGGGCCCTAATCCAATAGCACATGTCTTTATAAGAAGAAGAGACACCACAAAGAAACATATACACTCAGAGAAATATACACACACATATGAGCACACAGCCAGAAGGCAGCCATCTGCAAGGGCAGGAAGGAAGAGAGGCCTCACTGGAAAACAACCCTGCCACTACCTTGATCTTGAACTTCCAGCTTCCAGAACTATGAGAAAATAAACGTCTGCTGTTAAGCTCCCCCTAGTCTATGATATTCTGTTATGGTAGCCCTGCAGACTAATACAGTGTAATTATTCAGCATTAGGAAATGTACAGGACTGTCTAGTGACCTTAAGTAAATCCCATTTAGTAGCCTGAACTATAAAATATGATGGGCTTGGGACGCCTAATGGCTCTGCGGTTTAGCGCCTGCCTTCTGCTCAGGGCATGATCCTGGAGTCCCAGGATCGAGTCCCACATCAGGTTTCCTGCATGGAGCCTGCTTCTCCCTCTGCCTGTGTCTTTGCCTCTCTCTCTCTCTCTCTCATGAATTAATAAATAAAATTTTTAAAAAATAATAAAATAAAATAAAACAAAACAAAACAAAATAAAATAAAATATGATGGGCTTCACTGCAGTGATCCTATGGTGACAATTTAAAATTGTACATGAAAAGACTTTGAAATGTATGAGGTATTATACCAAGATATGTCTTTGCAGTTTCCAAGGACACAGATCACCCATTTCTTGAGTGCCTGCTGTGTGTCATACACTCCTCTCTCTGACAAAGCCCACTATCGTCCCCTTAAGGGCGATGTACTCCAACCTTAGAAGTGAGGGAAAATAGTGTATTTAGGACTTCCAAAGAGGTATAAAGAAATCTATAGAATTTAAATGATGATATATCAGTAACTGTTACAATAATTTAACTTTCCAAAGCATATTCAAAAAATAGAATCTTTTTTCATTAATATTTTATTTCATACAGAGAGAAGGTCTACCCTCAAAGTAGATTTAACTTTGTTGTAACTTCAGCACCATCACAAAAGTTGTGAATGCCAGAGATCTGACAAAGCCCAAAAAATTATCATTTGCACAGTTTCCGGAAACAAGACTAATTCTTTTTTTTTTTTTTTTAACAAGACTAATTCTTAATGTTTAAAATGTTTCAAGTAAAAATATAATATAGCTTGTATGAAGTAAAAGAGGCCATATAACTCTATTCATCCACACAATTTCAGGAAATATTTTATTTCAATATTTTATTTCCTAAATTAATAAATTAATCCTGAAAAATATTAATTCAATAGAAAGAGTTATAGACTTGGCAACAAATTCAGTTTTACATAAACTCTCTATTCTGCATCTGAACATATTTAAAGACAGTAAATGTTTCAACTTTCCTTTAAATATTAAAAAATGCAAGAGGAGAGGTAACTAGACACCATATTTACTAATAATTATTCTCTGAACCTATGGGAAATAAAATACATTGCTTTAATAAATTACTAAGTATTTTGTTTTGAGGTATACTTCTCTTTTCATTAATGAAAAAGAATTGCCTGGGATCCCCGGGTGGCGCAGCGGTTTAGCGCCTGCCTTTGGCCCAGGGCGCGATCCTGGAGACCTGGGATCGAATCCCACATCGGGCTCCCTATATGGAGCTTGCTTCTCCCTCTGCCTGTGTCTCTGCCTCTCTCTCTCTCTCTCTCTGTGCGACTATCATGAATAAATAAATAAATAAATCTTTAAAAAAAGAAAAAGAAAAAGAATTGCCATCTAATACAAGTATCTGAAATGATTTCCATTTCACAGAGATGGAATAAAATCTATTTAAAAAATTAGAACAATATGTCTTCAAAATATATCTTGACATTTTTCTTCAACATCTTACAAAACTATTAGCTAACATATTGGTTTAATATAGTTATAAAAGCCACAAAAGGAAGTTGTCATGGCCCAGGTGATTACATCAGGGTCACATTAATGGTAGGAGGTCTTCAGAAGTATGAGAACTCTGGTTTAGGAGACAGGAAAGAACACAACTTGCAAACGTGCAACACAACTGCTGGAAGGACAGAGAAAGCAGGAAACAAGGAGGAAAACAGGAAGAAGAGACTAAAGCTTACTAAAAGGAGAATTGTTCTTCTTGGATGATCTCATGATGGAGGGAGAGAAGGAGGCGGGGACTCAGTTCTTATTCTAAAATAAAGCGTTCACTGTGCCCAACCAACAAAATAAACACAGCCATTTTCACCTTTGTGCCAATTCCCAGCCTAAGTCAGTGCTGTTTACAATCAAAGCTGGCACTCTCCTCATTCAGTAAATACATGCTGGTTTTTTACACTTCACCAGTGCTAATGGAGTAGATCGTATCTTTCTAACAGACAGACCACTGTGTCCCTTAGGTTTCCTAAAATACTCCTATTTTGAAGGTATTGTGTGGCAGGTATTTTTGAAATGGAAGTGAATTATATTCATTTTGTTTTAAAGGTTTTTCAAAATAAATATTTATTACCCATCAAAACAAATAGAAAAAGGATTATAACAAAATTAGGTTTTAAAATTGCTACAAAAGTCTACCACAAAGCACTCATTAGAATATTCCTTATAAAACTTTAAAAAAATCAATAAATCTAGAAACCCTGAATGATTCTTATAAAATGAGAAATCTAAAAGCAACCTAAATGCTCAATAACCAAGAGACGACTAAATTGAGGTATAGCCATGCAATGTAATTTTCTTAAAGTAATCTCTACCTCTAACATGGGGCTTGAACTCACAACCCCGAAGTTATGAATCCCATGCTCTATTGACAGAGTGTGCCAGGTGCCCCTGTAATATTTTTATTCACCAAAAATCATAAAGAGAAATGGCAGCAAGGAAGTATTTGCAATATGGTATGAAGTACAAATTACATGGAGATAGTATGTACATATGTGAACAGAGGCCACAGAAGTAATTATTCCAAAATGAAAACTTCCTCTGGGTGAGTGGTGAAGTTGTACTCCATTGACGGGAACACAGGGAGACAATGAGAATAGCAACAGGCTGAATCCCAAAGTGAGTGTGGAAATACTATGTTCTCTCCCCTCTTCATACCAACAAGGAGAGTCTCTGGGGTCAGACAAAGGAGGGAGGCAGGGCTGCAGGATCTACCTTGTAGTAGTCATACAGTAGGCCCAGGGCAGCAGCACTGTCCTCATCACCGTTAATGCTCATCATCGCCTTGGTGGCCGCCGTCAAGGGATTCTCCAAATATGACTTCCAGGCTTCATCCTCACTGGTGTAGGCTCTTCTGGTATTGAATGGAGGGTCACTGGGCATGGGCACTAATGCCACCAGTCGTTTATTACTGGAAAATAAGAGAAGTGTGGGGTTCATTATCAGAGAAATGTTCCTTTATCCACTAAAAATACATACATTAAATGGTTCATTTGTACTTCCCTAGAATGGAGAAGGGAAGTAGATGCCACATTGCATTTATGGAGCCCTGAGAAGTAATGATGGTCTTTACAAGGTTGGATAAGTAATGCAAAGTGATTCCCTCCACACTTGATTTTTCCTATTCTGTCATTCTAGGAGCCAAATCATTTTTATTTGACTACTCTTTATTACTGAATATTAGAATGCATGTGACCCTGTGGGAAGCAGGACATTTAACTCTCTGGGTTGTAATTATACATAAATAAATAAATATGTATAATATATTAAATGCAGTCAATACATTAGCAATTACCAAAAACTTTTATCTAGTTTAACCTACATTTGAAATTGCTTGCAAATTATAAGCCCATCCAAGTCTCTTAATTAAAAATGGCAGAAGCTATTTTGTAAGTAAGACATTGCTGATATGCTGCATGATAAGAATATGAAGCAACACACAGACTCTATATGAGAATTTTGTGTTGCCCCCAGGATCATATTGAAATGACACAGAAGCTCCAGGCTATAAAATCCTCATGGAGAGTGAGGAGAGTATCTAGAGAATTTTCAGTAGAAACAGAAAGGGGATGGAGTCATTTATCAATCCAAACCAAGCCAAACTTGGGTAAAGTAGCAATTGACAAGGCAATTTCTTGCAGAGGATGTGACAGTGACTCAAATACCCAAACACAGTGACAGTCCTCAGCAGGTCCCTGGGCCGGGACTAGAGGAGCCTGGAGAGGCTTTGGCATTTGTTTCCTGGCCCTCTACTGTTTGTTCATTGAAAAAGAACCAAAATGTAACGATGACATATTGTAATTCAATAACCACTACAACTCTTAATAACATCATACAGACAAGTGACAGGACTGGTGAAGACAACACCTGAACTAATGAATGGAAACTGAGCCACCATGGGTCCTTTATGGTCACTCAGCTCTAACCTTTCCTTTCAGAGGAACCTTTCTGCTGACACTCCTATGGGACCTTCCAATGGGAGATGGTCTCTCAGCTCACTCTGTGATAAAGAACTGGTGTGCACTCTCGATAAAGACTGCATGGAAGGCCCTTTCTGTGCTGGCACAGTGCCATGCCTGTGTGAGGTCAGAAAATGACAGTCATTGGTGGTAAGATCTATTAGGGAATGACACTGGGAAATCCACATTTAGTAGAGTGGAATTCTAGGCTAGATAGACTCCAAGCCCCTGACTTCAACTCTGTGCTGGTGTTTGGTGAAACTGTTTGGGAAGAAAGAGATGATAATGAGTTGCAAATGAAGTGGATTAAAAGGGTCTTAATAAGGTTTCTGGAAGTAAAGGGGGAAAACCCTAGTGGAAGGTTTTCCTGAGCATGAGGCTGTGAGGTGACATGGACTGGCAGTGGGTACTGGAAGTGAGTCCTTGCTCACCATTTACAGATACAGAAAACTTTGAGTTTCAGCTTTTTCATGCCTTAAATAAGGACAGCAACACCCACCCTACCAGGCTCACAGTATGCCTGTGAGAAACAAATAACATAATAGAGAAAATAGAGTTCTAAATTACATGGTGCTATACAAATAGCAGGTACAATGATGAATGCAGTTCTTTGTTTCTATGAAGTTTCTGGTGCAACAATTTTTGGTGAAGTCAGTTATAGTTTAAAAGTGTTAAAGATAACCATGTTACGGGGAAACTGAAGTTGTTCGCTTAGCAATACTCCTTAAGTATTTAACGCAAACTCGATAGGAGCCAGGCCTTATGCTAGTCATCAAGGATGCAGCATGGCACAGGAAACAGATGTTGTCCCCCTGACCACATAGCTTATAACCAAGTGGAGAGATAGCACCACCATTACAAGAGCAACAGTTGAGAGAAAGGGAAATGGACAGTGCCATGAGGGTATATGACAAAGGGGACCAACCTAACTCAAGAATCAAAGAGGAGCTGAAGTTTCAACAAAGACCTAAAGGTAGGGATGTGGTGGTCCATGCTGAAATGGGTAGATGTGGAAAATATTTTGCAAAATGAAGGATGTTTGGGTAATTCGGAATAATGGAATATTTGACAAAAGGAGCACATTTCTATTCATTTTGGAATCAGCTAGAGAAATTTATACTATTCCAATCTAACAGTAAACTAGCATTTTCATGTTGTAAAAATTACTCATTTACATAGGATAGAGTTGGATTTGGGGACAGAAATGTTGGTGACATGCTAAGAGTCTATCAGTGGAAGAAATGAGGCCTCTGGGGAGAACCAAGACAGCAGAGATGGTAAGCCCAGGTGTGGCAATGCCACCACCACCCCTTCTGCAGTTGTTCAACTGGGGCCATCCTGGGTGATTCCCCCATGTAGAGAGGGAGACAGCAAATTCTGAAACCCCATCTGTGCCCATGAGGGTCCAGCCATCATGCAGCCTTCCTAAAATGCTCATCCTACAGGAAGAAATAAGAAATGAGAGCTTCATGTTATTTGCAGTGACCTCATTATTGAAAAAGATTTGGATCTGATTCTCTTTGATGACTGAGAGAAGCATATATTGCTGGGGGAAAAGAAGGTGTTAATTACAACACTGGCTAATTTCCAAAAGTCTGGCAGGAAGTGCCAGGCTGCAGGATAAGAGCCAACTCCTGGTTTGCATTTAGTGGTATCCTGATTCACTGGAGAGATTTTCTTCAAGTCTTCCTTCTTCAAGTCCCTACTCCTCCACCCTGCTGAGTCTTCTGGAGTGCCGATTTCATTGGTTCTTAGCACAAATGTTCAGTCATAAATTTAGATTCATCAGCCTTACCCCTATGATGAAATGGTTGATGAATCCTTACATGACTAGTGGAAAGAGATATTCTGGGAAAGTACAACTTGACTAGCTGTTTACTTTCACATTTTTGATGGCCAAAGGAGCCTTTTATGCTCTTTTCTGTAACTGCATAATGACTCTGATTTTTGTTTTTTGGCTTTGGGTTTTTTTGTTTGTTTGTTTGTTTGTTTCATAAACTATAATCTCTGGTACAGAGCATTGTTGAATAAAGCTTGGTTTAATAAAAAAAAAATAATAATCTCTAGTACACTAAGCAAACGTGTAGCTGTATAAAGACAGGAAAGTTTTACAGAGCAGATTTTACCAGAGTTTGGAACACATTCTGGAGCTAAGTTTCGTCAATCGATCTTTTGGAATGGCAGTTCTACTTTATCTCTGGTCAATTTTTTAAACATTCTTTTTGTAGTTTTAGGTATAGTATGTTCTGGGTAGCCTCAAACACAGGACTGTAAACAGCAGCATAAACTCCATCCCTGATCCTTTGGAGAAAAGTTTACATTAACACCTAAGACCCATTCACAGCAAGGCTAAAGGCTGTTTTAGGTCACACATACAACTTTGTGTTCTCCTTTTTTTCTTTAATCCACTGCTTCACTTCGTGGATGTTGAGAAACCAGTTGAGAGATGAGTCATCAGCGGAAGTAGGGAAAGAGGTGGAGCAATCATGTGATTGAGATCACAACTCAGGAGTCAGGAAAAGCTCCAGATCTCCGCCAGAGGCAACCTACCATCCCCCCTTGAGCATTAGCAAGAGTCTAAGGCAGGAATGCTTTGCTAGGGAGAAGCCAATGAACAGTAGCGTACCAAGTCTTTACCTTCTAAAAATATGTGCAGTAATAGTCAATAAAACCAGACATAAATCTGTTCCACTTGGGACCACAGGACAAAAATGAGGGCATGACATATTCACACAAATTACCACTTTCGATCCATTTCTCATCATCCATTTCTTTTATACCTCCTAAAAGGTCGCCGTTGGTTTTTGTGGGTTTTTTGTTTTGTTATTGTTGTTGGGGTGGTGGGGTGTCAATCCAGAGGGAGGATGGTATTGGAGTTGAATAAATCTCAGTTTTAATTTCAGTTTTGTCAATTGTTGAATTTGAATGAGTTACTTTCCTTCTCTGGGCTTCCTTCTTCATCTGTAACATGGTATCAATCTCTCATAGCTGTTATAAAGGAATAACTCAGATATTTATGGCACATAACATAAATAGTTCAATTAATAATAGTTGGAAGTATTACTTATCTCTAAGAATGATTCTATTCATCACCATTAATTCTATTAATTATTTTTATTTAGAAACAATTATGTTATTTTTCTGTTCAAAAATCCAATAGACAGTTCCCAGTTTTTAATCTCTTTGAATTTTCTCAGACTTTTCTTACTTCTGTAGAATCTTGCCTTGCCTGGCTTCCCAGACATTGTAGGAAGGTGGTTCTTCTCTGCAGCTCATCATTCTTTCCTAGTTTTTATTCCACCTCAACTCTCCTCCTATTCCTCTAATTCTGATAATCCTGGGGTCTTTGCTCTTTTGTCTCCATTGTTGATTCTTATGACTTTCATTGATTTTCTACCTTAATGACTAACATGTATATTGCCAGAGAGCCAGTTCTGCACTTTCTGCTCAGATGCTCTTAAACTAAACATATCCAAACTAAGCTAACCACCATTTCTCAATTGGGCACTCCTCACCATCACCTCTGTCTCTGGTCGTCTAGAATCAAATCTTGTGTACTAGTTTAAAATACAGACTCTGGAGACATAAAATCTTGTGTACTAGTTTAAAACACAGTCTGAAAAAAAAAAAAAAAACACAGTCTGGAGACATAAATCCTGGCTGCACTACTTACTAGCTGTGTAACCCTGGACCAGTTAGTTCATCTTTCTGTATTATCAATCAGTTTCCTCACTTGTAAAATTGGGATATACCCCCAAATGAAGTAGAATAATGATATCCTTAGTATTTTTGTCAGAATTAAACACAGACACAGTGTAAAAGCTGCATACCCATGAGCTAGTGTTATTTCTCTTTGCCCTTTACACAGAGTCAATTACCATATTCCATCCTCATAGCTTTGGTCTTCTCTCTTCAGACCTCCACCCAGTCTCCCTATCGTTCAAGTTTCCCC